TTAGACTAGGAATAGCTAAGAGCTTGTTATAAAATGATTTGGCCTTAGATTAAGAATAATTTAAGAGCATGGTTGAGATATTGAATATCGAATGACTTGGAATAAAATATTGAGAATATCATGAATGTTTGAATCATATATTGTGTGCATGATATCAAATGGTTGATTATGAATTGAGATTCATTGGATGTTCGACGCTTTAGATATGCTTACTCAGCTTCATCGCTGAGCGTGTAGTATGTTTTATTTGCTACACGCAGGTAGACAGAATGAGTGAATGGCATGTTCTTGGCAGCGGAAGGGGCGAGACAGTCGTGGTGGATTTATTGAGAAAATAAATGATTCTGTTATTATGAACCATGTTTAAAAATCGCTTCCGCATTAAACACTCCGTATTTACTACAATTATGTTTGGAATTTCATTTATGATGAATAAAGTTATTTGAAATGTTTTAAATTATACGATTACCAAGTTAATACTTTAGTTCGGAAGGGGTTGTAAACCTGGACGGATTATGGTGTTACAGATCTCAAGCGAATCTTTCTTTCATTTTAACTCTCATGCATAATTTATCCACAAAAAACATTTTATACACTTAAATAAACTCTAACGTCTAATGATAAAAATATTATACAGGAATCCTTGAACAACTCAAGCATAAGAATTCTAGTCTATTCACATTAGAGAACATTACATATTTTCAAAAACTTAAAAATTATTTTTGTGCTTAAACAACCTTAAATTTTATGAAAACAACGAACAAACACACGATAAAACAATCACTCAATAACGAATTTTAAGGAAAATGTCCAACTTATGGGGCTGAGAAATTCATAAACCTTAAAATTTTACAAACACGCATCACAACAAAGAAACATTTATGAGTTCGGAAATCATTTAACTATATATAATATGGAGCTAAAATAGCTTCAATCAAAACTAAATTCCAAAATTTGATTAATCCTTTTTCACTGCGGCGATAGGGCGTATCGGAATAGGTACCGGCCTATTGACCTGGTTTTTCCAAAATTTGTTTAATCCTTTCCACTTGAGTTTAAAACCTTTTGAATATTTGAAATGATTATGAGATGGTTTTAAACATATCTTGTGAATGCATTGGAGCTTGTGAACATAGGTATATCTTTACATTGTTTCTAACTAAAACATTTAAACAAACATAAGCTCATGTATTGTTTGTTATTATATTAAAACACAAAATTTAGCAAACTAAGGCTAAGAAGTAATTATCGTTAAAAAAATAATACATAGTAGATTGCACAGTGTTGTCACTAATATCCCCACCATCCTCATGTCAAAAAAGAGTCTTTAATGTAAGGAAAATGTTAGGATACCCCCAAATGATTGTTACCATGAGTACATGTAAGCTTCGCACATATGAATATCATCTATATCACACATATGATATCATCTGTGTCATTTGTCGAAAGCTTGAGTACACTGGTGATGTGATACGAATATCGTACCGAATAGGGAAGAACTTCGAGCGTCTTCGAGCTCCAAGAAATGGGAGGCAAAGGGAGAAGGAAAACTTCGAGCGTTTCCAGACTCCAAGAAAAGAGAGACGAGATATTAAGAGAATTCTTGATTATTCATTGATTATAGTAAAAAGGATTGATTACAACATATAGAGACGAGGGGGTGGGGGGAACACCCTAATTAACCTAATGGGCTCGGACCCATACTAAATCCTAAATAAGATTAACTATTGAATATTAAATAACTACTAATTAATAAATAATATAACTAATCTAGCATCCGTATCATGATGCCACACATTTGGGCACTCTAACATGGTCCTTATTTTAAAGATAGTCCTACATTTATACTCAAACTTGTCAAGATACAGTATATTTCATAGGAAAATGAAATGAAGTGAGAGAATTGACTTTGACAAGTGACGTACGTGCATGTGCAACCGTACAGGGCTGCGTCAAGAACCCCTAACATATGCTCTTCTTAATCGATCTGATTAATCCCAGATTTAATTTACTTTGTTTCCCTTCATGATGAACTGCTTTTTTCTTGCCATATTTTGTTTTTTTATTTCTAGAGTCAACTGAGAAATAGTAAGCCAAAGGTGCTTCCAAAACTCTTCTTCATATTAAAACAATAAATAATGGCCTCGATTGTAACAACTAGCAAACAAAACCCTTGTGTGCTGTGCTTTAGAAATAGTTTAAAACAAGCATTATTCAAAGAAAAATACACGGGCACATGTCTTAAGATGGAATCCACGATAAAAAAAAAATAAATCAACAGACATTCCCACTTTATTTTTATGTTGAATTGAAATTAGACTTCATTAATTTGCCCACTAAAGCACTATGAATATTATTGAGAATAAAATTTGACCACTAAAACTAAAACATAGTCTTATTATTCCACAAATATAAGACTTATCAATTCTTTTTCTTAAAGTAAGAGTTAATTTAACTAAAATTACCAAAATGCTCAGCAAACTCATCTTCAAGTTCCTTGCTAAAGCTAGGCTGACATGTGGAGGGTCTCCATCTAGCTAGGAGCAGTGGCGGAGCCAGGATTCAAGAGTAGTGGGTGCAAAATAGTGAAAGATATTCGTGTCTAGCAATTATCAGAGATAGGAGACATTTAATTAAAAATAAGTCTGACAAGCATTTTGTCAAACACATGGTGTACAATAAATAAATAAGTAAAAAACATATTTGGCAAATGTCACAGGTAAATTTTGTCGGAGAAGATCTGTAGAAAAAGCCCATCACACTGAATATTCATCATCATCATCATCATGTTCTTCTTTTTCTTCATCTTTTTCTTCATCTTTTTCTTCATCTTCTTATTTGAAATGGAGCAATATATAGTGGTATATAGTATTAAAAAATCAAGTTGGGAGTGACTGCAATTGCAGCCATTTCCTCCCACTTGGCTCCGCCCCTGGCTAGGAGTTGGTCCTTTCGTTTGGGAGGTCATGCTTTTAGTAACTAGAGCAATGTGATAGGTATATGCAGTTAATCCTCAATTTTCTTCTTCTCCAACTTGTGCTCGTAAATTCTAAGCTCATCAAGCTGTCTATATACAGTTCTATATATCTTCTCCCACGGTAGTACTGCACCACAGTGCCATTGGTGTGCCAATTGGCAAAAAGAAAGTGAAACAGTCATGCATTTTTCTTCTTTTGAGAGAACGTCTAATCTAACGATAAGAGGTCATTCAAGTGTGGTTTGCTTCTTAAATATCATTACAATTTAGAGAAGGTAAGCTATGTTTTTATAATTATATCAGTCCACACCGAGTCAAATACAAAATTTAGAGGTGGGGGTTAATAGCCTTCGTTAGCTTTTCAAAGATTTCTTTACAAGCAATGTTTTAAAAACAAGACTGGCCGTTTAAAACCAAAAATTAGTGAACTGGTTACAACACTGATCCACTTAGATAGGTTTGATCGTAGCGCGTCCTAATATTCCAAGTGTTGCCCAAATTTAGAAATGTCGATAGAATCCACGCAATGTTTATGACTATAGACCCATTTGAAAACATCAACAAGTGATTAAGATGATGTAATTGCATCACCTAGAAAGAGGATGATGGCCTAGTGATTAAGATGATGGTAATTAGAAGTGTGGAAGAGGTTTCAAAAGTACCCTAAAAATTAAGCAAAAAAAAGAGAAGGTACAACTAAGGTATCTATTAGTAATGGACAACAACAAACCAGTTACAATAGTACACAGGAGAGAAGCTCAATCTGATCTTCTCATTTTGACATTAATGGGAGTCTCTTTGTAGGACTGAACCTTCTCAGCTGCTTTCCTCAGCGGCCTTCCAATGGAAGTCCTGTTTGGTTGTTGGGAAGCAGGATGCTTATCATGAAGAAATTGTGCTTGAATGTTTTCTTCTAACTCAAACAAGTCCTCAACTGGCTCCTCCTCCTGCTGCTTCTTCGTTGTGCAACTGGTTGACTGCCTCCTTAAGCGGCGCCTGAACCATGTGTTGGAAACACGATGATGAAACGCCGATTTTGATGAGTCTCAGTAGTTATGACCCCAAATGATGATTTAAATGGCTCTTTTAGAACATTGGGAATTTGGAAGAACATATTGTTTCGGCCATGCACTGATGCACATATAAAATTACACTTACCGTTTTCCAGCAGCTTCTTCTTTTCCTACTTGTTGGGAAGCAGTGGAATGGCTCATAGCTGGAAACATTAAGTTTCAAGAGCTTAAGGCTAATAATAAAAGAAATTAAAACCCAACAACAAGAAATCTAGTGCTTACATCGACTTCTTGTGGGGCGAAGCGGCCTTCCTATACTAGGTTTGCTGTTCTCTATATTCCCTGCTGAAAGAGCATTCACTGTTGCAGCCTCCCCATCCTGATTAGTATTTTAAAACCAATTATTAGTATCTTGAGCTAATTAACAGTTATAAAGAAAAAAAATGAAATCCAATTGAGCAAATATACCTGATTCTCATGCTTTTCACCATTGGTATTTTCTGATTCCTGAAGGTAGCAATATAAATTTCAATAATTTAGTGAAGAAGGGGTGGTAATGGTCAATGCAAGACATAGGGTATACCTAAGAGAACAGAAAGAAGCATCTAAATGAGTTCTCTATTCATCAATCAAGAAAGATTGAGTATTGACTTATTAGTCCATATTTAGGCATCTTAAACCAAATCAAGAAAGAAGCATTGCTCTCTTCTTGAACTAATGAACCATTAAAAACACCTAAAAACATTATGGAATATGAGTACTAAGGGTCTGTTCTTTTCAACCGAAATTTGATGAACTCCAGTGAACTAAAAATAAGTCGAAAAGAATACCAACTATTCGTACTCAAACAGAAAAGAGAGAGTATTTCGCAATATAGGATTAAAGTTATCCTTTTACCTTTGCTTCCAATAGCTTTGCTTTGCGTAGCGCTTCCTTACAAGCAATCTCATGTTGAAGTGACATTAACTAAGATTAAGATGATCAAAGGGAATTGTTAGAAAGGAATAGAGCACATAAAAGACCAATTAGCCTTGCAAATCAAAATAAAATTTTGCATCTTTTTCCCATTTCGTAACAAAAAAAAAACTTACCTTTTCTTTATTGAAGGCAAGTTCCTGCAAGAAATACACATCACACATATCATCAACAAGATTGTGAATATATTTATATACAATCTATAAATGTGTGGAAAAACCAACCGCTGTCATTTGGCTGTTTGACTGAGCAAGACTCCGGTTCTGAAGCTGCATTTTCTGAAGATTAACTCTCAGTTTCTGAATCTCAGTTCCGCTCAATTCTATTATTTTGCTGTAAACAAAGTTCAAGAATTTCGTGTGAATTCAATTCTGAAATCTTCACAAAAACTGTAAGAAAAAAAAACATAAATTTTTAAAGACGAAAGAAAATAAAAGCTTACTTTTTGTCCTGAAAGAGTTTCACTAACGCCATATTTTCCTATTCCAAGAACACATCGCAAGAAAAGAGTCAAAATAATTGAGTAAAAAACAAGAAAAAAATAAATCTAAAGAATGGTCTTTAATGGAAAGTTTGCACTACCTTGACAAGATGATCGACATAGTCCTCCAAAGAATCGTCTTTCCTCATATCCATGGCGGACTTGGGTTGTGGCAAAATGTTGGTGATGTCTGAGAGCTTCTTCTTGACAGTGGAACCAACAAAGAAAGACCTTCTTGCCCCTCTTTCCGGCCTTATCATTCTGGGCAAATGATGAAATTCAGCGGAACCCATAACACAGTAAGCCCCAATTGCCCAGATTCAAGAACCCTAACAGAAAGGAATCAAATTTCTCACCCAAGAATCAATATCCAGAGCAAAACAACAATTAATTGTAAGCGGCGGGTGTGGTTTTCGGAGTAAAAACTAAAAACAGCTCTGGGTTTTGAAGTAAAGCGAGACCAAATCTGGGAAATGGAATGGGCAGTTCAAAGAGGAACACAATAAAGGCAAGAGAAAGGCAGGTTCGGAATTCCAACGGCTTCCCGAAGCAATTAAAGGTTTTGCCCAGGATACAGACCTATTTTCAAATTCGTAGCCAGATTTAGGGGTGAGCAAGTATCGAACCGATACCAAAATTTCCCGAAAAAGATCGAAAATACCGAACCGAAAAATACCGAACTGAAAAAGTACCGAGAAGGAACCAAACCGTACCGAACCGAATGGTCGGTACGGTATTTGGAAATGGTACGAGGTGACGTACCATACCGAAAATCCCGAACCGAACATATATACTAAAATATTATAAAAAATAATGCCCGGAAAATATTTTTATATTCCTTCACTAAATAATAATGTTTAAAAAAATTGGTTCAATTTCTATTATGTGTAAATTATACTTTTATTTTAGTTTTAGTTTTTGTGCATTAACATTAAAGTATTCACAAAGATTCGTAATACTCCTTTGTTGTCGTTCATTTTTTTAATTTGTGAAATATAAACTGAGTTTTGATACGCATATCTTGCATTTAAATATTCATTTTTTTTAAATTTTTCATGTTTTTTTATTTAAATTCAATTTTAATTTTCAAAAATAAAGGGGCATTGTTAAATTTTAAGGTGTAAGGTAGGTATGTATATTCATCCCGATTTGTACCGAAACCGATATTGAACCATCCCGAAGCATACCGAACCGATATTTCTGGATCGGGATCGGTACAGAGTAAAATCTCATACCGAACCGAAATATTTGGTACGGTATCAGTACGAGCTAAATACCATAGCATTACCATGCTCACCCCTAGCCAGATTGTTTTTTTCGATAAATAACACAAGATAGGTCTAAAGGGTGGTAATTTTATGTTGAAGCGCTACCGTGAGAGAGCAATCAAAATATTAATCCTCAAAAGAAAGAAGAATAAGGGATGGTTACTTTCAACTTATTATTTCTACTAATTACTTATTCTTATTATAATTTGATCAGACCAGATTAAATCATATCCAATCAGATCAGATCAGACTAGATTTAAACAAAACTAACATTATTATTTTTATTATTATTTATTTATTTTTACTATTATTATAACCATTATTATTACTATTACTTTTAAAATTATGATTATAACTATTATTGTTGTTGTTATTATTAATATTAATAATATTATTATTGTTACTATTATTATTATTACTATTATTATTATTACATTTATTAGAACTATTTTTAATATAACTATTACTATTACTATTATGATTACAATTATTATTATTACTATTATTATTACTTCTATTATTATTATTACTATTATTATCATTATTACTAGTATTATATCAGAACATCAAAAATTCAGATCAGATCAGGCGAACGAAACGTGGCCTAAAGTTCATAATTAGTCCATAAAGGGGGTTTTCAATTTAGAGAACCTCCTGACTTCTTCCGTCTTCAAAAAATTGTCCCTTTTCGAACATGTAAAATTCAATTTTTAATAGTTTTATTTACAAATTGTTATAGAAATAAAAAGTACATTTACAAATTTTAAAAACTACATAAAAAATTCTACCAAATAAGTAGTGGCATGGTTATTTTATTTTATCAATATTACAAACTACCCGGAGTACTTTGCATCAACCACCCATCCCCCATAGTGTGATGTTATAACTACCTTGTATTCAGGACAAAAGACATGTGAGAGCTCTACTGTTTAGAATGCAGTTTTTCTAATCTGCAAATCATTTCTGTTAAAACTAAATAGGATACAAATTTCTGCAATGAACTTCCACTAATGGAAATCACAAAGAGAAGAGAGATTTGCAAAAAAAAGTTGGTGGCCCATCACTTCTCCAAAATGTCTGCCTTCTTCCCATCCCCACCACAGTTACCATTTGCTGGCATTGCCTTGAAAAAGGTATGAAGCTTTACTTCTGACCTGCAAAATTGAAGAATCATATTGTCAAGTTAAGGGTTTTTATGTGTGAGAGATGGAGAGAAAGAGAGAGGGAAAGAGATGGTCTACCTTTAAAGCATATGACCTCAAATCTGTGCTGCTGATTTGGTAGGAACAGTTACGGAGGCATAATACCCACAACTTGTTCAATTCGGGATCTCGTTTTAGGTTAGGGTCACAGAAGAGCCAGTTTTCAACCAATATCAGGTATATATACATCTTCTCAAGATCAAATTCCTCATCTTTCAGATTAATGGAATTCATAGCCCTTAAGATCCCTTCTCCATCGACTACCTACAAGGACATCACAGCAATGTCGTTCTAAAAGTTCAAACTGATAGGAAGAATGGTTCAATGTATTATATGTTGGTTTGTATTTTTATATCCGGCCAACGTGAGATGGCTTAACGTGCATGCAAGATGGTGGTTCAATTGAGTAGACAAATTTAAAAAACAATGTGCTCGATGTTAAGTCTTACTAATATCAAATTGCTTGTTTGAACTTAGTGCCGTATTAAGACTTGGGATTCCACCCTCGAATGTCAATTTCTATATCTCAGAATAGTTTAATACTCATCATTTTTGTGAAGTATAACATGAATACATTAAACAAGGGCATATTAGTCTTTCATGCTTCTATATTTTTATGCTCTCTCTGTCCAATTTTATTGTCTCATTTTCGCATTACATGGATTTCAAGAAATGTGAAATTGTGCGGTTGATATGTACGCAAAAGAGAGAAACTATATGCACGGCACAGGCCACAAGTATTACTCTAATGGGAAATGGGCCAATAAGAAAACAATCTGAAAAGGAAAGTGGGGCAATAAAAAGGGGACAAGGAGTATAATTTTAGAGCATTCTTAATATGTACTCCCTCCCTCCGGATTTAGTTGTCCATTTTATTGTTTTCACTAGTGAAGAATTAGTTGTCCACTTTCCATATTCAATAAAGAAATTATAATGAAGTGTCTCTTTTTATCCTAGAGATAAGGTATGAGCATGGTTGATATGAATGAATGAACAATAAACTAAATCCGGACGGACTATGAAGCTCCAAATAGCAAATTGATAGGATAATAGAAAGCAAAGTAGAAGATTGAAAAAGAAACTACCTTACTGTCAAAACATGCTACTAGAAACTCAAAGGCTACTGCACTTCTTAAACGTTTAGTGCGAGCATCAAGCACTGAAATACATTCCACAGTTCTCAAGCAACTGATATCGGTAGTCAGTCTGCATTTATTTTTTTTTAAAAAAAGATATCATCTGTTAAAGGGAAACAAAAAAATACAACAGCAACAAAAAATTGCTCACTTAAAAAGTGGGGGCTAAAATGGCCAAATCAGGACAGGTAGGGGTCAATTAAGCCTTTGGTTTTTTTTATTATCAGTCAGAAGATTTGATACACGGACAAAACAGAGCAAGTAACAAAATGAAAAACAGAAACAAAGCATTGGAAATTAAACAAAATGCAGACTGCAGAGCAGAAAAAATAGACAAAAGCAAACCTGCAGGCGAGAGACTTGGCTATTTTGATACAGCTGACATCAAAATCACTATCACTAAAAACACCTATTAGTGAGCGAAGACATTCATCCAAGATAAGGGAGAGGCCAAGAAGTTGTCGGTCCATAAACATGCAGATTACCACAACAATCAGGTCTTCTACCTCTTCAGTTGAGAAGGGTGGACACATAGTCCTACATTACCAAAAATAAGCGCTGCCTCTTTTAATGCAAAAGATATAAAGGCAGTAAAAAAACTCTAACTTATTTGAGCTTAGTGGACATCAAACATAGATTTCAACAGTTACAATAAGTCAATAACTAGCTTCAAAATATATTTTTCAGTTTCGATTTTGTATTTTATATTGCATACCTAACTTGGCAACTAGCAGAGACAAACTTTATCCAAGACCTTATATTTTGCGGTGGACCACAAGAATTGGAATCTGTGACAAAAATAAGTGTTCAAGCATGACTCTTTTTTCAGTCCGGGGAGTATAAAATTTGAACAAAATTTCCCATCTTTACTAACTAACTCAGTAACGAGTTACTTACCTGAATGGTCGAGTTCTATGGGCAATGATGACTTGCAAGGTGAATCCAATAGAAATCCATATAGGTCAAGAGCATTTTTTAATTCCGCATGGTTTGGAAACCATTCAATTTCAATGTTCTGTTGGTCAATCTATTGAAAAAGAACTAGAGATGAGACTACCAAACAATATATCTGACACTAAAACTCTCGAACTAGTAGCCATAGTATAGAACTATAGATACTGAAAAACCTCATTGTCGGGTAAGAGAATGGAACACCAGAGGTTGCACGCTGCACTGCCCAACTGGATTAGTGGTGAATATAATACTGCAATGGAACAATTGAAAAACGAAATTGCTAAAAAAATTGATAATTTATCAATCAAGAAAATCAGAAGAAAAGTGTACTGACACAAATAGAAGCTCCATTTTGCAATGGGTTCTTCAAGTCGACCGCAAGAACTGATCATTCTCAAAAGCCACCCGTTTAGGAGCAGTCCCTCAAGAAAACTCTGACCTAAAGAACCAAAAAGGAACAAGTGCCATATTCAATACATTTATTCCTAATAACTATTAAAACAAGACTAAAACAATGAGCTAAATGATCTAATTAAAATAAAATTAGAACTTAGACCTTCCTCCATTTTGAGTTCAACCAATGAATTAAGCTCACGATTCATGACAGACTGTAGAATGCTGCAATCCATTAGCTCGGGGAAATCTAGTTCTGGGAAAGCTTTCTGCAAACAATATTTAAGACATAACGATATGTTTATATCAGCAATCAAACCTGCCATAGAAATCTATGGTGAAATGGGGTTACATATAACATGCTCATAAGTTACCTGAGTTCCGAAAACTTGAAGACCCCACAAAGGTATCTCATCATCAGCCTTTATTTGATTCATCTATAAGGCATGGAGAGGGTAAGAGGCTACTCTGTACAAGAGAATAACAATGTGTTAAAAAAAACTTGGTGGGGAGGGGAGTTTTTTGCCTTCTCCTGGAATTCGTTAACAAAGTCATGAAACTTTGCTTCTCTGGCATCGACGTCATTATCATCGGAATCATACTCTTTTTGGACCTTTGCACGTTTCTTAACCTTCTCCTTATGGTTAACTTTCTCCTTGTAGTAGTCATTTAACAAGTCATCTAAACCTATAACCCTTTTCCTGAAAAATTTACAGAAATAAGAAAACAACATTCAACATTACAATGCAATCACTCAATAAGCAAGACTTGTGACTTGCTATTTTGAAGGAAGCATTATTTGAAAAGAAGAAAAAAAAATCTAAAGTGGAGGTATTAAATTGATGCAACACGTATAGGTCTAAATTTTACACTAAAAGCAATATCTTACCCAGAAATTTTTTTTAAAAAAGAATGAAATAAAAAAACCCTAAATGAGGGATCCATAATTACTGCATAAAAATTAAAGACGAATGATGAAAGGGAAAGAGATAAAGAAAAATCAGGGTTTACGTTTTCTTGGAGATGGAAGGGGAAACAAGAGAAGTATCTTCGAACTCGAAGTCCAGAGGTTCATCGGCTTCCATTGTCATCTGCGGTCTGCCTGTAGAAACAGTGGAGCACCCAAAAGGCGAATGCTCTTCCCTCGCTTGTTCGGGAGAGTGCGTGGGGAAATCTAAAGTGTGGGTCAGATTTCGGACTGAGGAAAACAGGGGAAATCTTTTCTTCCCATTTCAACTTCTTCTGTAAGGTGGCGGACGAGATGTAGGACCAACAAGTTTTTTTTTTCTTCACATTTGCGTTAATGGGCTGCAAGTTATTGGACTTGACGGGTATGAGGCTAAAAGTTCTAAATGTAAGATGTTCCGCCATACACCTTTCCAAATTGATTTAATGAGAATTTACAAAAATAGAAATTTACTAGAATATCCTTAAGAAAATTTTATAACTTTGTAATTTGCATCATTATATTTCTCCCAATTAAACATTAGTGAAATTTGCAATAAGTAGTACTAAAACATACTTCCTACGTCCCATTTTAAACCGTTCGTTTTAACTTTGGGAAATATTTAAAAAAAGAAAAAATTGACTTTTCTAAAATTGTCATTACTTTTTAAGATGGTTGACGATGAATGAGAAGATAAGGCGTAGAAGAGTGATTTATTTTAGGGATAATTTAGGTATTTTACTCTTAAAAGTTTACGATAACAAGAAACATGCAACTTATTTTGGGACGGATAAAAAAGAAAACAAACAATTTAAAATAAAACAGAGGGAATAAATCATTTTCCAATGTAGTACTTAAATGTTTTTATTCCCTAAATAGTATTTCAATAATGTCTAGTAGCGGGAACAATATCTAGTGATGGTGGTCATTTAGTTTTAACAATATCCAGTGGTAGTGACATTTACTTAAACAGTAACCAGTGAACAATGACCAATGATACTACATCGAGAAAGTTGCTATGTTTTAGTACTATTTAGCTAAATTTTCCTTAAACATACTGAGCTTTTTTCTAAAGAAAATTGACGACTATCGAGGTAGGCATTCGAGGATAACCAAGGTAAATGGACGTAGGGGTGTATACGAATCGAATCGAAGCAAATATATCACTATTCAATTCGTATTCGATTAAAGTGATACGTATTCGAATTTGGATTCGTATATAATTCGAATTTTAAAAAACATTCGTGTTCGATTCGATAGATATTTGACGTATGTGAATTCGTATTCGAATATTCGAATTCGAAAATATTAGTAATTTTTTTCTTAAAACAAATTTCTTAAAGACATTAAATTATTTTATAATAATGTAAAATGTAGTAAAAATATGTTAGAATATAAATAAATTTATTTATAAATTATAATATTCGAATATATATAAATTTATATGTACACAAAAATTTAATATATTAAAATATGTTAAAATATGTACACAAATATTTAATATATTAGAATATATAAAAATTTATTTATAGATTATAATATTCGAATAACTTGAATAATAAACGAATCGAATCTATTAATATTTGTATTCGAATTCGAAAATAATTCGAATCTAAAATATGATTTGTATTCGGATTCGAATTCGAATATAGCGAATATGAATCATCCTTTTCGAATACGAATCACGAATCGAATACATTTTATTTGATTTGTATGCACCCTCATGGACGGAGGTAACCACAGGCGGTTTGGACGACATGGCAATAAGGGCGCGGACGACTGGACTACGGCAAGCTGCCAATGTAGTCCCCATGTTTTTGGAATTTAATTAAATAAAATTTCATTTGAAGAGATAAAACTTACTCCCTCCGTCCCCCAGTTTTTGTCCACTTTTGATTTTTGAAACTGTTTATCTAAGTACTTTGACTCATCAAATTCTCTCAACGTGTAAGCCTAAATATAGTCATGTGTGATGTGTGATCTTGTTTGATTTGTCTTAACATATAGACTATTAATATATAATTTCTATAATTTTTTAATATACAAATTACAAGATAAAATGGATTAAAGAAGTAAATTGAATGATGTGTAAAAATGAAAGTGGACAAATACTCTGGGACAGAGGGAGTATATACTGAAGAAATAAAACAAAAAGGAATGAAAATGATACTCTGTACAACAACATTTTTTAAGGCATTATAGTACACTTAACACAATTTCAAAGCTATAATCTTTACAATATCCATTATTGTTTCCTGCTATCCCCATTCACAAAAGGCAACTCCACCTCCTCTGCCTCCTCTCTGAATTTCTTATAAATATCACCCCTGTAAAACTCCCGAGTCCTCGCAACCAAAACCAAAGAAGAAATCGCCCCGAAGAAGGTGACACTCGCCAGAATTACAAACGGCAGGCGATAACAGTGGGGCCCCATGCAGCTCAGCTCCTTCACGTCCCCTCTCCTCATCCCCTTCCCCTCCAACTCCCGGAGCGCCTCCCGGTCGTACAACCGCCCCGTGATCATCACGTTCAGCACGTACGTCCCCGCGGGGCTCGCCAGCTGCCCGCAGTTGAACAGCGTGGAGTAGTACTTGAGCCCGAAGAGCTCGGAGATGACGGTGAAGAGGAGCGGGAGTTGGGCCCCGAAGGAGAACCCGATCACGACCGAGGCCACGTAGAGCGAGCCCGGCACCGGGAACGCGACGAGGAGGAGGCCGGCGCACGACAGGAGGAGGACGAGCGTCATCATGAGGGGTCGGGGGAACTTGTACCGCCTCAGGAGCGTCTCCGAGAAGAATCCAGAGAAGATTCTCCCGAAGAAATTCCAGATGGAGAGGAGGGAGACGAAGGTCGTGATCGTCTTGTTCGGGTACCCGAGCGACTCCCCGATCTGACCCATGTTGTCGACCGCCGTCAGGCTCGACCCCATCCCGCAAAACGTGGCCACGAAAAGAATCAACATATCGGTGCTCAGGAGCGCCTGCAATATGCTGTAATCCTCTCCTCGTTCCGGCTTGTGGAAGAAAATCTTGGCAAACCATGAAACTTTAGTGTCGTCATCATTCATCACCTCCGGTATCCCGGGAGGCGGCAGTGGTGGCGGCGGCGGTGGCAGTGTGACGGCTTGGAGAGTTTTCTTCTTCTTCCAGAGGAGGAAGTCGTGCCGGGCAAAAAACACGAGGGGGACGAAGAGTAAGAAACAAGAAACGGCAGCGCTGAAATCATAAGCAACTCCGGAAAATGCCACTAGTTTCTGTAGGATTGTCATGACCATAATAAACAAGGCTAAGACAATGGAGGAAATCAAGCATAGGTAGAACATGTTGAGCTCTCTCTTGTCCCTGACAACCTTAATCTCTCTGATTGTGTACACGAACGCCATTGAGAGTGCAGCGGGGAGCCAAGCGATGAGTAAGATTAGAGACTCGGAGTCGTTCCCATAGACAGCCAAGTAGAGCTGGGTCATGATGGCCCCGCTCAACCCGGTGAATCCTTTGAGAAGGCCAATCATGGCCCCACGGGACTCTGGGAAGTTCCTTACGGAGGTCACCAGAGCCCCAGTGTTAGCAAAGTTCTGTGAATTTGCACCAATGCAAATGTAGAGACACATTTGCCAGACGGTAGGCTTTGGGATTTTCCCCGTAACGGCGAGCCAGATGACAAAATAGCCGGCGAAGTTCATGGCGGCGCCGACTAGGAGCACAAACCATGTCGGGGAAACCTCGGCGAGAAGGCCGGAGAGGACTCCGACATTGGCCCCGAGATCCTTGGAGAAGCCGAGGAGGTTGAGGGTGGTTTGATCATACCCCAACGAGGCCTTTATCTCCTTGGAATAGACTCCGAAGAGATACGTGGCTCCGGCGCCGGCCATGATCAGGAAAGATGCAAAGAGGGAGAACCATCTTCCTCTGAAGAAATGGGGGGCAAAAGTGAAGGCATTGCTTCTGCAACATTCATTATTAACTGATGAAGAAGAAGAAGATGCTTCTCCCATCACTCTTTAATTTGCTCTGCAATTATGAGTAGCAAAATCAAGAATCAAGAAATACTATATATATCTTGTTACTTATTTCTTGGTAAGGATTGATTCTGAAAAAAATGGGAGAAGATATAGGGGAAATAAATAGATGGCATCAAGAAAAAAGGGGATCCAATAATTTAAGAGCATTTGAGAATTGTCTTAGGATAATGCCAAATGGATCAAACTCTCCTTTAATGGGAGGAATATGAGAAGGTGAACTTTATAGGAAAAAGTTATTATTGTGCTATGTGTAGTAAAATGAGTTAGGTAACCTTGGGGCAGTTTAGGAAATGTTAGTGGACAAAAGATACTCCATTTCAAACTAATCCAAATTAGTCCTTTAAACATCAATGCATTTGCCAAAATGTCTTATTCTACATACTAGTAAAAAAAAAGTCTTTGATTACTCAATGATGCATTACAACTTCTAAGGAGTTTATAAACTTTCAATGATCTATAAATGACAAAGTAAACTTCTTTTGCGTTTTAATTTTTATGAAGTTTTACTTAGAAAGTAAGTGCAACAACGCATCAAAAGTCTAAGTTTACTCTGTACGTCTTAAACCGTGAGCTCTAACAGAGTTGGGATTATACCGGGGTTTTTGGTAGACAGAAGGGGTAGGGATGGAAAAAAATTTACAGCGGTAACTTTTGAAAAAATTAACTTTCAATTGCAAGTGGGGAAGACTATAAGTGGGAATTGAAAGTGAGATTTTAAAAAAAGAGGTCAAGACTCAATAGCTCACGAGAAAATGTACACATTCAATAGCCTAATAAAGACTTGTGGATCCTACGGTAGTTGTTAGGGGTCATGCGTGACAAAAACAGGGGGAGCCAGCCTCACAAAATTATTCACCCGTGATATTTTCCAAATTTATAATGATTTTATTGTACACAACAATTATGTATGCCCATACATTACTCATGTACTCCTAGCTTTTGTCAAACTTGACTTTTTTGCACTTAGACTCGACAAATTTTAATCATCAATTGCATTGTAATTTAATAAAATAAAATAATTTTTTTGAAAATATTCTACAAGATAAATCTAATTTAATTATTTTTGTTCTAATATGCAATACAAGTTTTAACTAATTGATAGTTGAAATTCATTCAATTTAACTAAACAAAGTCAAACGGGACAAACACATGGAGACGAAGATAGTACTATTCTTTATCTTTAGAAATACCCATTTAGAGGGTGTAAATGGGCCAAGCCACCG